CATTCTAGAGAAATTTCTACCTGGAAATGATAGGATGAGCCCATTTTACAAAATTACTGATTGGCAGTTAATGAAGCTCTCACACTTTTAATTTAGAAGGTAGTTAAAGCAGGTTACCGCTGAAAGTTAGCATTTATTGAGAGCTTGCCACATGTGAGTACCTGCTAAGTATTTAGCAAATATTGCACGGCCTTATAAATGTGTGTTACTCAATTTACTCAGTGAGGTCACATAGCTAGCTGGTTGTGGGGTTGGAATTCAAGCCCAGATTTCCCTGGCTGCTTCTTTTTTTTTTTTTTTTTTTGATCTAGAGTCTCGCTCTGTCACCCAGGTCTGAGTGCAGTGGCACAATCTCGGCTCACTGCAACCTCTGCCATCTGGGTTCAAGCGATTCTTTTGCCTTAGCCTCTTAAGTAGCAGGGATTACAGGCATGCACCATCACGCCTGGCTAATTTTTTTATTTTTAGTAGAGACAGGGTTTCACCATGTTGGCCAGGATGGTCTCAACCTATTGACCTCATGGTCCATCCACCGTAGCCTCCAAAAGTGCTGGGATTACAGGTGTGAGCTACCGCGCCCGGCCTACCTGACTTCTAAGACTCTCTTAACCAGCACAGATATACCATCCTTACCAGTCATTGATTAGGGAAGAGATGTCATTTTCCTTCTAAATATACTCAGATTTGTAGAAGTTAAGTGAATTTCTCAAGAATATAAATCTAGTATGTTGCAGACTTGTAATAAAACAGACAGTTCAGGCTTCTGACTCCCAGTCCTGAACACTTCCCTCATGTAATTATCTTATTTACCTCTAAGTCAGGACAATGTTAATTACTTTAAGACTAAGATGGAAATCTCCCATGAACCTGGAAACTCAAATAAGAAATGCTTTATTCCACAATCCTAATTCTTTGAGTTGGCATTTCATGCGGGCTCAGCTAGGGTCCGTTATGTGGCAAATGCTGTTTGCCAGTGTCATTCAGGGGTGCCCTTGGAAGGTAGTTGTGAAGGGAATTCCTCTGGGCTGTCAGAACTTCCTGCTTTACATCTTTTGTCCTCTTGACATGAAAGGGGCTAGCAGTGGCTGATAAGCAGACTAAAACTCTTGGTCAGGAATTTGCACAAGATTGGAAGCATGGGGACAAGAGGATCTGGTGGAGAACATGTGGTTGGGCCTCTTTGAAGGGACACTGAGTGTGAGAATACTTGTATCTCATGTAGCCCACCAGGTTTCGGTGCAGGGGAGACTCTCAGCAAACAAGCGATCTGAGAATGATGGCCACTTCCTTCATCAGCCACCTCCACTAGCTAAATGAGCCCGGGTACAAAGTGGACATAGCAGAATGCATAAGGCTCTTCAGCAACACAGACTTCCCCCTCACCAAGGCTGGTATGGCCATTGCTACTGCTGAGCTGCTGAGCGCCAACCTGCCCATAACAGAAATGAATGCTAAGCCTCCCAAAGTGGCTGTATTCCCCACAGGGACAAACTGGCAGTTTTATTACGTAGGATCTTTTTTCATCAAATAGGGTAAAGCAACTCTCTTAAAGGCATAGAGAAATATTCCAGATATAGATTTGCCTTTTCCATCGTTCTTCCATTTATAGTTATTTTATTCATGAACATATCCTACAGGATCCTACTACTGATTATAGAACTAATTACATGGCAAAGGGATGTGAGCTTTCACCACAAAATTCAGAGGTCTCATGTTTCATCACACAGAAGTTGCTCACTCCATAGAACAAGAAATAGAACAGCCTGCTAAAGCCTCAGCCATGATGTCAGCTAGGAGACAACAGATATCCATCAATATTCGCACCATTTCTCTCACAGTCAGAATGCATAGTTCCTGGAATCAAGGAATTGAGTTGGGAGTAGCCCCTCTATTACACCAAATAAGCCATTTACATGATTTTTGCTTTTCAGGCCTTAAACATTGAGCTTAGTGGCTTTGGGGGTCCAAGTATTCAAGGCAGGACTGCTTCCACTTGGGAACCAAGTCATGATTTTATTAAACTGGAAGCCAAGACAGTCAGTCCTAAGACGATCCCTTGGCCAGTTTGGGTTCCTCATGGTTCTGAACCAAGAGGTAAGGAAGGCTAGTGATTCGGGTAGTTAATTGCAGTTATAAAAAGGAAGTTGGGTTATCGCGTCATAATTGGAGCCAGGAGGACTATCTTGCAACTTGTCCTCTCAGGAGTCTCAGCTTCATAGTCAATGGAAAACAATCATAACCCAATAAAGACAAGACTTCAAGGAATGAAGGGTTGAGTTACCCTATCAGCAACCTACCAAACAGCCCTGGCAGAGTAAGAACGTGCAATAGAGGAGTTAGTAAGATGTGGTCATCAGTTTAGGCCTAATGACCAACTAGGGAAGTGGGAACTATGGCAATGATCTTAGTACTTATTTACCCAACTTTTATCCATATTTTATATAAACAGAACTGTTGTATATAAACATTTTATCATTAAAGACAAAAGAAAAAATTAACCCTTAACACATACTTGCAAATACTCCATTAAGCTTTCCTCCATTCCTGTGGGAGTGTGTCATCTAATTCTTGTCATGAGTGGATACAGTTCTAGATGAGAATTACCACCAATAGCTTTAAAATCAGTTAATTCTTCAGAAACTCCGACTGAATTTTGCCATCTTGACTTTGATTGGCATTGTTACTATTGCATTGGAACCTGAGTATAAAAATAGAGTGGATTTATAGCTTGAAGTCTTCATTACAGCTTTTTGAACCCAAGAGAGAATAATCTATTAAAAATATAAAAATACTTGGGGTTTATTATTTCCTGTTAATAATAAAGAATCGGTTCGGGCATGATTGCTCATGCCTGTAATCCCAGCACTTTGGGAGGCCGAAGCGGGTGGATCACAAGGTCAGGAATTCGAGACCAACATGATGAAATCCCGTCTCTACTAAAAATACAAAAATTAGCTGGGCGTGGTGATACTGCCTGTAATCCCGGCTACTCAGGAGGCTGAGCAGGACAACTGCTTGAGCCTGGGAGGCGGAGGTTGCAGTGAGCCGAGATCATGCCACTGTAGCCCCAACCTTGGTGACAGAGTGACACTGTGTCGTCCCTCCCCCCCACAAAAGGAATCAATATGCTGTTAGTAATTATTAGTATGCTATTTCTAGAGTCGCCATTTTATAAGCTTAAGTTTGAAATTTAGTGGTAACTTTCTAAACAGTGAGTTTTACAGTTTTGGGTTGCATATACCTTTGAAAGTGTGAGGAAAACTATGAAACTTCTTTGCAGAAATATGGGTAGACACACAAACTGCAGAACTTTCAAGTTTTATACAAGTTAAAACCTCAGTTTTAGAGGCTATTCCACATTCAGGTGAATGTTTGTCTCCATCCAGGTTATTGTGATTACTGATCATGAGTCATTAGCTATGTGAACTCCATAGTCTTAAGGAACTTCATTATCTTTTATTTGTATTTTCAAAGACAGAGAGTGAGTGAGCAAGAGAGAGAAACTACATTACACTTAGACCAAAGTTAAAAAAAATATTTGGTGGATTGAATGGATAAATAAAAACCAGTTACATTTCTCTGGTTGTAGGTTAAGTTCAAGTTTTAAAATGTCTGAGTTCTAAAGCATAAGAAAATACTATTAAAAATCATGGCAGGAAGAGTATTATAGCCAAGTAATGCACTAATTACAAGGGATTTGAAAGACCTCTAATTTCCAAGAGAAATCAAGTACGAAAATAAGATTAGAAACTGGGAACTCTTCGTTTTGTATGGAAATTCCAAATATCTCAACAGTGGCAATGGCCGCGACATAAAAATGCCCAAATTAGTCAGATTATTTTTCTTTCTAGTCTAGTATTGTCTCTATTAGCTATAATTTTGCCTACCGTTTATTTATTAAATTACATTATTTGGATACATTTCTAAGCTACTGGCTTAAATATCAATGTAATTTGGAATGAATTTGGTGCTTCCGTGGGCTAAGCCAATAGTGTAGTTCTTTTCTTTTTTTTTTTGGAACGGAGTCTTGCTCTGTCGCCCAGGCTGGAGTGCAGTGGTGCAATCTAAGCTCACTGCAACCTCTGGCTCGTGGGTTTGAGTGATTCTCCTGCCTCAGCTTTCTGAGTAGCTGGAACTACAGGCGTGTGCCGCCATGCCCGGCTAATTTTTGTAATTTTAGTAGTCAGGGGTTTCACCACATTGGCCAGGTTGGTCTCAAACTCCTGATCTCATGATCCGCCTGCCCTGGCCTCTCAAAGCGCTGGGATTACAGGTGTGAGCCACTGTACCCGGCAATAGGGTAGTTTTAGAGATAACTTTACTTTACAGAGCCATCTGGAAGTATCATGCTGGAGAGTCTCAAAAGGGTATTTCTGCCTTGTATTTCTTTCTTTTAAAGAAACCCCATATAAATGGGCTTTTCCATATTCTAAGAGGAGGCCCTATATATATTGTGATTTGAAAGAAAATTAAATGTCTGCTAGGTAAATCATTTTAAACTTGATTAGGGTGGTGGTTACATGATTGTATGTGTCTGTCAATACTCATAGGATTGTACACCAAAAAGTGAATTTCCCTGTAGGTATTTAAAGGAAAAAACTGGCAGCATATCTTAAGTGTGTTAAAATAAATTTTAATAAGCAAGTTCAATGTAAGAAAGGAACTTGAGTGCCAAAATCAATGTGAAGTGACATAAAACAAACACATTATGAACATCCAAAAACCTGGATTTACAATGGAAATGTGACAGCTTCTGAAATTAAATAGCACTCAATCATTAATTTCCTTCGAGGGTAAGATTTGTACCCTGCTGGGCTTATAATTTTCTCTTTGTGCTGTTCACGGGTAAATATTGCCAATTTCATTTGACACAAAAAAGGAAAACAACTTAATTTTGTTTCTAAGTTAATGGATGACAGATACTACCCTCCAGATGAGGTACTGAATTATTAGCTTCCAGGCAGTGATTTGAGGGGGAAAAAACCAAGCCGTTTCCAATGTATTTGTAACAAGGAAACAAATTTATTGATTTTAAAAGACAAGACACCATTTTGTTTTGAAAAACACAAGAAAGCTAGCCTGAGTTCAAGTCTGAAATATTCAGAAAAATCCTACTAATATCTTTAGTATGTTCCAGTCATTTGTTTAAACAACACACTAAAAGTTAATATATATTTTTATAATTATAAAAGTTCCCCAGTTATTGTACAGTACACAATACAAATCGCCCACAAACTATTATTTAGCTCCTGCCAATTTTGAGAGGACATGATATACTAAAAGATTTAGCATTTCTCACAAAAATCACATCAGGAAATACGTATTTACAAAATCAAATACATTATACAAAAAACCATCACATGTTATTCGGTAAAGATGTTTTTAAATAATTAAAAAGTTTATTCAACTGTAGTCCAAAAACTGGAAAAGAACATTACATTATCTCACACATACAATCTCTACAAAAGTTGCTTACCTCATTTACATAATATATTCAGTCGATTGTAAAATAAATGTTCAAATATCTCCTAGTGTTACTATGTTTCTGTGCTTGTGGGACTGAATAATGTAATCGGCCACTTACTAAGTGAAATTTAAATGATGGCACTTAAAAAAAAATACAGTATCGTAAAAAAACACAATGAAAGAAGTTTGACCCAGAAGGTACGAAAGCCCTGAGTGATAGTGGAGTTACTGATTGGTAAGCACTACAATTAACCTAATTAAAAGTTTACCACCTCAGGCACAAATTTCCAAGTTTTCTCAAGGCACTCACTTAAAGTTTCTGTAACCAACGCATTGGTCACCACCATAGGTCCAAATTGATGATGGAGATGAGTAGAGAAAAAAATTTGCTTTGGTACAAAAGATGCTTTTTAAATGAATACAATTCAGTAGCTTCTTTATTGGATCATTTAAAATTGTGTTTACCAGGTTAAAACAAAGCTATTGTTTCTTCAAAAATACTAATTTACTGAAGGAAAAATTTACTCGGTTATCAACAGTCAATGGGAGTTTTAATATTTTCTTTCCTCCCCAGAATCAAAATTCTTCTAAAAAAGATTTGTTGTCCTCATTATTGAGCTACATAAACAATTCTTACCAAAGATTTCATTACTCAGGGCTTCCAATCCCAACATCATAATTTATTTAAAAAAACAAAGGAAAGACGGGGGGAAAAGAATCAAACCAGAATCAAATAAGAGACAAAACACATTTTTCTTAAAAAAGAAAAAACAAACAAAAAAAACAACATATTATCAATTATTTTAAGGAAAGGGGAAAAAAAATCCTAGGCAGTCACTTTGTAAGTGGCTTTTACTATTTAAGTAAAATTGGTAAACTAAACTCAGGTCTACTGGCACATAAAATCACTAGCAGCAATGATCAAGGCATGCAAACTGAGAAGCATTTACAGTAAATCATCATGAAGAATTCAAAAGAAGAGAGTTAAATTAAAACCCTTTGAGTATTGCATGTTAACACATGAGTAATTGAATGGTTTGACTTCCTAAACTGCCTAAAAAGCAAGGTTTACGGCATACTTGCACTATGCTATGGATGTCCTTTCACTAGACATCAGAATAGGTTACACTCTTATTTGCGCCCAGCTAGGGCAGCATAAGCACATCTGCTGACAACACTGCTTTCATGTTCGATCACACAGGGAACAGGGAATCAAGTGCATGAAGAGATTCCCTTGAACAAAATCAGCAATGGTGTAAGCAGACTGACATTTAGAGATACCAGAAGCAGTAGTCATAGCATCTCCTGACAATGAGCTTAAAATCAAGTGCTTTGCTCTCCATTCTGTCTATATATAATTTTTTGACAAAGTATTAAAGTTTTGGAGCATAGATAAAATTATGCCCTGGGCAAAATTCCCAAACAATATTTTATGAGCGATCTAACTCCAAATAGCCTAACTGCCCCCAAAGAGTTCACATTCTCTTAATCCACTCGAACTCGTTTCTTCCTAAGGCTTCACTTACACTTGTACTTTCTAAAGCTAAATAAATGAGATCTTTTGTTTTGTTTTGGGAAAAAAAGAAAAAAAAAAAAAGAAACTTAACCCTTTCTTTATACCTTTTAAAGGCAATCTAGGTACCTTCAATGTGCAGAAATCAGTTATGACATGGGTCTATCCAGGCCCATGTATCTGTCCTCCTTTTCTAGAGACTATGGTGTGATGCTAGAAAAGTTGATTTTTTTTTTTTTTCTGTAAACAGTACACTTACTTAGATGGCAGTGAATATTTGGGAATAAATATATCAAGCCCTCTTGAAGAAAAATTAAGAGTTGTATATAAAATGCAAGTGTTCGGCGTGGAAACACTTTCTCTTCCTACCCACCCCCCTTAAAAAAACAGCATAATTAGACATTTGGATATAGAGTATACTTTACCGGTCTAAGTCTAAATAAATGATCTGAAAGGCTTTTGTCCCCCATTGTATATCTTACAATGCTCAAAGGGTTAATAAAGGCATTACATCAAAGGGGTTTTCTAATACTAGAACTAAGCACTGAATTAATGCTTCTATTCCAGTTTTTAAAAATCACCAAACTTGCAGAAATACTAGGATTCCATTAATTGATTTGTTCTAACCCTATACATGGAGGTTGTTCTGATCTAGCAACAAGCCCAAATTTCAATAGCACTGCATGCCAATCCTCCTCCCCCATGTTCTAGTGTGATTCATACAGATCACAAAAGTTCTGATCTTAATTTGTGGGTGGCTGTTATTTTCTCACCAAGAATGTGTGTGCAGAGGGGTTATAATAAAGGTCAATTCATTATATATAACCACTGCCTCAAATTGTACACAAAGGTGAATTGCCAAGTTTTTACTTTCTACTTGTGTCCACACAAGGAGGACCAACATCACAGTGACACACTTTTTTCTTTTACACTAATGTTTCAAGCACAGCATTATTTTAGACATTTCAAATATATCATCTGAGGAATTTTCAAGAATTTGAAAATGCATTTAGCACTTTTAGACAGTGCATTCATATAAAAAGATTCATGATTACGGCACTAAAACCGCATTCATTCCTGAATGACTTTTACAGCATTCTACAAGAACGTATTCATTTTTACTTGTCTACTAGAAATCAAAGGCAGTCAATGTTGCACACTACTAATTTCAGGTATGCAGTGTTAAAACCATTTTCTAAATTTTACTTTTGTTTTTAAAGTACACCATCTAAAGAGAGGTGCATAAACCGTGCTATACAGTACAAGAAAAATCACAAAAAGGAAAGCAGATTTCTGAAAAGGCAGTTAAGACTTATACAGTCAGTCCAAACACAGTTTGGATGAAAATCCTGAATAAGTGACTAGCAACTTGATAGCCAAAGAAAAAATTGAAAATTGGGCCCTGTGTCTTCCAAGGAGATGGTTCATCCATTCCACCCTATTGTTCACTGGTTTCATGAATGCAAATCTTTTGGGTATGATTTTCAAAGTACAGGTCAAGATCAAACTATACCCATGATACTCAATCCTGTCATATGAAAATGTCTTTTCTAAAACTTGAAAATAGCCAACATAACTTCCTTAACCTTCTTCCTCACTGAAAGTGTAGCACTTGATTTATACAATAATATTTCATGACTAGTGATTGGTTATAATTGCAAGAAATACAAAGAAGTCCTTAAAATGTATACTTGTATCATTTGTGAATAAATCTATTAAGAAAGTGTTACTGTCTAATATTATTTAGAAAACCTAGTTTCAATGAATGAAAAAAGGGAAAAATGGAAATAAATGCAATAAATGTCATTGCTCAATTTGTTCAAATGTATAAATTATGTTTTTATATTCTCATGTATTTCACGATTCAAATTCTAAATTGATGAAAATGTTTGTGTGTATGTGTGTTCATGTTTTACTGTAAACTACAAATAACTGGAAGTAACATAAACCATAGGCCTTCTTTTCTGTTTTGGTCCAAACTATTTACAGTAGTCACAAAGAATATGCCTAAATATTCATAAAGGAGATGAGAATATTTTTATTGAGTCAAGTTCAAATGTTATAATGTTTATTAGTTCTTAATCTGTCCTAATTTAGAACCATGAACAATTGGAAGAAATGTTGAATTCTGGAGCATCCCCAGTCCCTAAGTCTCATCAATCTAAATTTGCCCATTATTATCAGATTCCTCTAATGATACAAATATATCCAACGTTAAATTAAAGGAAACAATGATAATAAATACATTTAAAGTCATCCAATAAACAAAATGAAACCAGTAAATACATTTGGTCCAATACATAGTATCATTCAAGGGATGGCGGATAGAGACAGGAAACTGAAAAAATTCAGAAAGGAGAGCCAAAATGAAGAGTGTCTTTTCACTTTTTGATTTTAATTTTACCTGTAAACACTTCCTATGCACAATGAAGTAGATACATGATCTTTTGCAGCTTATGTTTTGTTTGCCTTTTTTGTGTGTGTTTTGGTACAAATCCATTGTCTTTTTGGGAGGAAAAAGAGGTATGGCAATTTAAATGATATTTAGATGAAGGTGATGCTACTATGCTAGTGAAGACTTTCAAATATATGAGTTGTATAATAAAAAATTTGGATCTGTTTTCAAAGTTACATCTAAATATTTAAATTTTACTTAAGAAATGTTGTTGATGTTATTTGAGTAGTCTGAGGCAACCAAGCAACAACAGCTTAAATACACCGTGTATTACCCGATAAGCCATTTGGTATTTCTAACTTTACAGACTGGCTCGCCTCTTCTTTCCACCCCCCCCACCCCCCTGCCCCAATACAACTGAAAAGATAAACATCTTGGGTTTAACATAGGCCTCATTAATAATCTGTGAATCAATTTGTGCTTTTTTTTGGCTTTATTCTCTATTTTTGCTGATTAGTATTTTACAACTATTTAAATGAACAGATGTGCCTTTTTGTGTTTTAATCATTAAATAATTTGAGGGCTTAAAAGAACCTTGGCTTTTCATGCAAATTAAAATAGGGCTGGGTGTAACTCTCTAGGATCTCACCTTCTGACTTTGTAGCAGACTCCTGCCCCATGGGCACTCATGTGTGCATGTGGACACACCGGCACCTAGACACACAGACAAACATTTAGACTGAAAAGATGCACTTCGATAAGTATCTGCTTACTCTGTTAACTTTCTAAAACGGTAACTAGATAAGAATGGTCTAAAACATATATGACTTTATGTAACAAGTTGGTATTAAAACTAGCCTGCTATTCCACACCCTTAAGCAAATATGCAGCTCTAAGAATAAAAAATAGATTCACGGTCACTCAAAGGGGGAAACTGATTTTTGTCTTTTTGTTTTGCTTTGCTTTCCCTAAATTTCCTTTGAAGAACATGTCACCTGTCCTTACTTCGGGAATCTGAAAATGACAGGCACACTTTGTCAAATGGATTGAAGAGTTATTCACATGAACAAAATAAACCTTACTAAACCTTAGCTTCAGTTCTGTTTTAAGGCACCATGTAATAGCCGAGGTACGATGATCCCTGATGTACATTCTTCAATGGCAATGGTCCATCCAGCCACCTATCCAAATCCTACAGAATCGGGGATAAGTAACAGTGAGGTGTGCCAGTTACACTGCCTTCAGGTTCTGTTTACAATTTAAATCCACATATTTTAGAAACCAGGAAATAGTTTTGAAGGAAATAACGTTATGTAGGTTGCTACATTCCTTGCATTCTATAAATTTTCTTTTATAATAGCAGCATATTGAACTACTATTAGGAAAAAGACCTGGAATAAAAGAAAGTCATCCAAATGGAATGGTTTCCTGTATGTCCAGCTCAGCATAAGTAGCATGTACACTTAAAAAAAAAGTCAAGTCATTTTTTTCTGCTTCAGTATCTAACTCTAACAGCCCCCACTTAACAGCAGAATGCATCTGTGCAGTGGTCCCAAATACAGAATCAGTAGTCTTTAAACGGAGGAATTGGTATGCAAATAATAGTTAAAATTCAATGTTTAACGGAAGCTTGCATTGTTAACATGGTTTAATAATTATGTACACAAATTATGTACATATTAGCATAATCTCTTGCAATTCTGTCATTTACTCTGAACTGATAAATGCACAGCTCAATTTTTCCTCAGAGAAAAATAGATGACCTTCCAAACCCTCTAGCACTATAATAAAAATGCTCTGTATTCTCTCTCCGTACTCAAAATGTTATCAAAATAGTGTCTTATGGTTCTGTCCAATGAAAAGCACCTTTCAAAAGCAAATTTGATGCATCTGCTGCCAAATGGGCATGCCTCCAGTGTAAATCAAAAAAATTCATTTCTTTTGATATTTCACAGAAGTGCATCTAATTAAAAAACTTACACATGAAATCATACACCAAGACTAACAATCAACAATAAAATATTTTAAGCTACAAAAAATGTAAATTACTTTTTAATTTTAAGAAAACGAAACATTGACATTAAGTGTTGTAAAAATCCTTCTTGACACCTGAAACTAAGGGAAAAAATTCATTATTAAGAGGCAAATAATTTGCTTACGTTAAAAATAAAAAGACCTGCCAAAATACACACACCCATTCCATTTCACAACTCCAAAAAGTTAATGTTCAGCACAGATAGAATTTGACAACAGTCGACCTTCAGGCTTATTAAATTTTCAACTTAAGCCCATATCAACAGGGGTAATGTAAGCTGGAAAAATACGCTTTAATATTCTTTAGACTGCAGTGTAGGTATTTCCCGTAGCGCTGCACTGTCTGATAGTCTGAGTACTTGTGACAATGTGCTCGCTGTGAATTGGATTCAGGAGGCTTGGCTGCACGCCAGTCTCGAGAACAGGCTGCATGCAGCCCACCGGAAATGCCTGGCTCAGCTCTGTTTTCTCTCTTTTGGCTTGAGGCTCTGAAGAGTCATCCAGTTCTTCATCCATTTCACTTTCTACTTCACTGCCTTCATCTGCACAAACAAATAATATCAAGACGATTATCAGAAGACAAATCAGCAAACAACATCAACATGTGCTTTAGAAACACTTTAATATATAGTACATTAAGAAAGCAAACAGCTCTCCTCAAATGCTGTATTTAGGCATCTATAATTCTTTCAAACATAGCAAGGAAAGTTTATTTTTGGCAATTTGTGATTGATACTTCACTAAGATTTTTAAAAAGGACTTTGGAATTTCCCTTAGTATTTATATTAAATAATGGCATAATTTGTGTTATAATAAAGTAGTCACTTTGGCTTCTGGGGAATGTATTGAGCTGAAAATGCAAACACAAAAAAAAAGTTTTGGTTTTGTTTCCTTTAAAATTCTACACTAAATATAAATTTTATCTATGCTAGCGTTAATGTGGGTGAGACCTATGTTGATAATATTACTACTGCATGTATAAACAGAGGCTGCTGTAGAGACTTTTTGGCACTCATCAATGTTGTAGATGGTCACAGTATAAAATAAATCCTTAATTTTTATTATAAAAATTATTAAAGCCGAGGCAGTAGTATCAGATTAAAAATGTGCAATGTATTTCCATTATTGGCAACTGATACTATTAATAGCTGGTATTCATTTCTGGAAATTAAATGTGTTATATAGTCACTATTACCCCCAAATTGTAATACATTTTATATTAACTAAAGCATCATTATAATGGAATGCTATTTAATTTTTCCCAGCATGCACTGTTAAAATTCAAAAGTACAATACAGAGAGAAAATGCACATATACAGCTTTACTACTGTGTGAGAGTCTCCTCAGAATACCTCTTCAAGAGGAATAATTACAGTGGCTTGTATAAACAGTCAGGTCTCCATTCTCTATTATTCTATGGCATATCACATACAATGAGTGTACAACAAGTATCTCTTTGGTCAGATTAAGTTGGATTCTTTGCAAGCAGTAAGACTGCAGCTTTACCAGTTGGTAGACACCCATAGCAAAAATCTCTGCTAATGCAGTTGTCTCTACAAACAAGGCCCTTTGACTTTTATTTCATTATGATTGGGGCAAAGATGCTTCTAGAAGAAAGCAGTGAGACGTAAAGGCCTTACCTATATGGTTGTACAGTGTACAGCCACCGGGAGCAAGGTCTGAGAAATGGCAATTTGTGATTAAACATGTGGAGATTAACATACATTGGCTACAAATGTGTGTCATGCATTAGTGAACAATAAAACAAAGAAGTACTCTTAGATGAGGCAAAAGATATCTTGGCCTACCTACTTTATCTAGTTACCTTTTTGCCTCTGGAAAATGAACTTAATGATAATATTACAGTGTGTCAGAACAAGTATATTCAAACGGTTGGGGATTACAGGGAGAGGGATATCTTTTGTACACATTTGCTTCCTCAAGAGGGTATGCTTGAAACATGTTTGCATGATATATTTTGGTGTTGCATGTGTTTATACATAAAAATGTCTGGAAGGATCTTAACACAAACTCTTCATGGTGGCAGTCTCTTAGGGTTGTGATAATAAAGCTTCACTTTCTATAGTTACTAATTCTCTGTATTATTTGAAGTTTTTATACACAGCAAATATCCCTTTTATTATCAAGGACAAGAATTCTCATTTTGTGGGAGAAGCCCACAGAAACTCCTAGGATTTCACATTCAATCTTTAGGCCCTGAGTATGCCCCTATGACTCTATATCAAGAGGCATCAGAAGGTCTGGGGGTAAATGGGATCAGCACCGCCACATCCAGCAGGTGAGGACAAGTCATACTGCTTCTCTGCTACCTGTTCACACACTTTCCTGTGCCTAAGAAATTAGTGTCAAAATAATAAAAGGGGCAGCACTGAAAAGACAAAAAATCATTTTCAAGCAAGAGGGCAGTGGAGACAAAGTGAGGAAAGTCCTTCTATCTATTTTGTTGTGGATGGAAAGGGCAGTGAGGTAATAGATTGGACAAATTTAAGTGTTCCAGGTAGGTTTCGCTTAAGTCTAGCTCTGGGTGACAGGTTTCCTTTGGAGAGTCTACAAGGTAACTTATAAAAGCAAGCCCATTCTCCAGGTCCTAAGGACAAAGGAATGTAATTTTGTAGACATTTTATACTTCTATTAAAAACTCAAAGATACTTCCTAGGAATCTACTTCAGGTTATGGAAATTTGGTACATAAAGACTAAAATTAGGAGCTAGAGGAGTTTACAGAGAACTGTGTGGTTCAGCACGGCATGAAAAAGCCTGGCTGGAACTCAGTCTCTGACTGAGCAGTAAAACTTTACCGAACTCTGGGCACCCCGGGATGCAATTCCTGAATTTGGGTTATGAAGCTTTGGTGTGAGTATATCATCAGTGTTGCTTTATGTTGGACATGGATTTCAGTTACCACCTCTCTTGCTCTAAAATTACTAATTAATATCATCACTGACTTATTTTTCTAACAGTTATTTGGTTAATCCTATAGGGTATGTATTTTTAACAACAATTTTTTTGGCTATAATTTTCAAATCTCCTTGTGTTGCTAGCGTACTGAGTACCTTAATATAGCACTCTCTGGAGAACAGCACTGTACCTCTTTGCAGACTCTCCAAGTACTTCCTTTTACCTCATTTTCCCCAATGGCTCTGGCCTAGAAGGGCTAAGTGTGTAGCTCTTCCCAGTCTATGTGCATTTTTGTATCCGTCTCTGATAGCCAATCACCATAACAGCTCCTCAAAACCTCAAGATACCTCCCTGCCTCCACCACCTTTTAATAGAAAGAGTTCTGTTTCCTGCAGTGTTTAATAGAAAATTTACCTGTTTTTAAAAACTGTACTGGTATTTTTATCAGTATTGTTTTGTTTGTGCCGTTTATAAAGGTGGGTAAGACTTGTGTGTTCTATCCCTAGTCCATCTCCTGCTAAGTCCATCTCGCTCTTTTTACTGTGTGATTTTGTTGATCATGTTATCTTATTATACTGCACAGAGTGACAATGCTGGTATTAAAATTTCAGACGTATATATGGTATCTTCTTCATCTATACCACTACTAATCTTGCATTTACAGTAAACCTCATTCCTATCTCCGAGTTCTTTATCTACAGAAAAGTATGAATTGGTGAAACAGGTGAGCTGAGAAATCTTTTTTCTTGCCTGGTGGGCCTTGAATGAAAATATCTCATCCAATTTTATCACTTCTCTCCAGGATTCTAGCCATGATCAGAAATAATTTGTCACTTGTAATGAACTTCAGGCAAAAAGTGTAAAGAAGTTTATAACTACATTTAAATTCAATTATCTGCATTTAATGTATCTCACATGTAGAAGGTACAGGGATGAAGAAAAATGGAGAAATAATGAAAAGACATGAGTGTCATCTTTATCTAGGATTTTTATGCCACTTTCACAAAATCAGAGTGTTGTAAACATATACTATATTTTCCTCTATGAGAATTTGTCAGTAAAAAAAGAGTTCTTAAAATGTACATTATTTTTTATTTTTACCTTTATCCAGATTTCCAGGAGACACGGCATTTAAATCACCAAACTGCAAAACAATAGTCATTTGTGCAATAGTTACTACTGGGCAGAATAAAATCATATTCTATCAGTCTGTGGTAAAAACGCCACTCTATGACTCTTTAAAACTGTAAACTAGTGGTCATTTTGATCTCTAATTACACGGGTCTCATAATTTTCCAGTCAAACTTGTCAAATTTGAACAGTTTAAATTATGTCACAATTTAGCTGTCTTAGCCTCCTTGCAGAAGGATACCAATTTTCTCTGCTTTCCATGCTCCTCTTTACCTTTTATTATTTCAACTCAGCAATGAAGAAATAGGGGCCTGGATGACTCGGATGAAGACGGATGTGGTGAAATGAATTTGGAAAAGCCCTACTCAAGCAGGACACATCCGCTCCATCCCCCATGCTTGGCTGGTGAGTCTACCTGGAAGTTTCTACATTAGAGAAACAGGATCCAGCACTTTAGCTGAACTCTATTTTTAAAGCTTTTATTAGTAAAAATGAAAATATAATAGAAACTCCAAAATTGAAGGTATTTATTTTTACAAAATCTTTGAGACTTCTCTCTTTAAGTTTGATGCTCTTATTTACTAAGATAATAGGGTCCCACTTTAAAAAGAAAGGCATCTGATGATTACTAATGTGAACAAAAAAGAGCTTGAAACAATATAGAATAATTAAGAGCCTTTAGCTTAGACATTATTTTCTAACATGGTTCAATAGTTTGAAAATTTTACAATGAAAAAACACATTTTGAGAATCTCAGTGTGAACAAAGATAGATACACTGAAATAAAAATTGAATAGAGTAACAAAACTAATCAGGAAAAAGTGAAGAGAAACTGCAAGGCATCTACTTTTTACACAGTAAACATCATTTTTTTTTTTTTTAAAGCAATAAGTCATTGTTAGAAATTCAGATTTCTCAACAGGCTTAGAAAGGACGAGGCAGAAATTCTACTTATATTCAAACGTTTGCTTATAAAGAGTTCCATGATAGGAGTATTTTTTTTCATCTACAAGGTTTGTCTATAAAGGAATAAAACTGATCTTATTTTGCAAACATACACATATTTTTTCCCCACCTAGACAAGTACTGTTCTTCACAGTAGCTACCCTGGGAGCTTATACATTTATTCCAAGGTCCAGGGTTCTGAAATTTCTCTTCGACAATCAATTTCAAGAGTTAGTTTATGTATCACTAGGAGAGCCCATCTTGTTATTTTATATTCAACTGTGGCTCCAAACACTCCAGATTTCATTTATTATACTTGGTCCTGGGATGATTTGACTACTCAGCAAAATTAAATTCACCTCTGACACAATTCAGGATATTTAAAATAATGTCATTTTATTTCTTAGCATTTCAGAGGCATTCCACAACATTTTTAAGCCACAGGAGCATTACTGGAACAAATGTGTAGCTTTCCTAGGTGACTGCTTTGAAGGAGATGGGGCCCCCTAGACATGTAACTATTAATATATTTGAAAGTCTGTGCCACTGCTTTAGAGTTATTTTTTAGAGTTATTAAAAGTAATAGCAAAAACCACTATTACTTTTGTACCGACCTACAAAATACATAGATACACCCTACAGGCCAATAAATACAAATCATAAATACTGAAGTTTTTAAGTTGTTCCTAATCATATAGGTCAGATCCTTGTGTAAGTGTAAATAAAAATCACAGTGTAAATTCTGTAGGTTTTCTTGAATTAAGGAATATAATCTAAATGACAAAAACCCAAAGAAATTTTTAAAAATCAATTTTTGGTATTAAATATTTTAGAACTATAAACATAGAATGTTCAAAACGGAAGAATCATTTACAAGTTATTTCTAATGGACATAACACAGTAAGATATAGATTTAAGGTACTACTTAACACTTAAGTTCTTGAAATGAGTTGGCAGTGATGATTCTAAACACACCTTTATACTGATAAAAACTGAGTATTTGCTGTTGAAAAGTCTCTGAAAGTTGTTTGTAGCTAAGTTATTATTGCCATTGCTGATCTATAATATCACACAAGGCGTCTACCAAACTTTGGCCATACTTGAAAATTTTCTACAAAGAAACACTGCATTTAGTTGCTACTTAACTCTGAAAACATGACAATTTCCTTAACACAAAGATTTTCCTTAGACGTTTCTACTTAATATGAATAATATAGGTGATAATTCAAGATGCTGAAAACAGAAACCAAAACAGATGAAATCTCAGAGATTATCATTAACAAAAATCCAGTTACATACTGAATGCCGAGGCTTGTCATTACCCACTACACTGCACAAGGTATAAAGAATCACCGAGACAGTGTCAATGCCTCGAGGGGTCTCTGGGATCAATTACAAAGTTTCACATATACAGCAAATACAAATTTTAAAAATCCTGTGAAGAAAAGATTTTACTATGCCATAGAGCTGAAGGTAAAGGCTTTTATATGCATTTTAAATGTGAAGGGAAAATAGGCCTAAAATTATAGAGGGAAAAACACTTTAGCCCTACAGATGGACTGCATGAGATTAGCAAATTAGTTCACTCACTCATTTAGTCAATAAATATTTATTGAGGGTTTACTACATGCCAGGCACTATGGCAGACAATTCTAGTCAGATGAATTTGGAAATATTCTGTCTTCAGGAGCTGAATAACAGACATTCCCTATATTCTGAAGGGTAGGTAGGTTTGCAGAAAAATGAGCAGCTTAGGAAATCTTCGGGAAGGTGTTAGAAGTACAGGATTCAAATCTTAGAAATGGAAACCAATTACATGGGTTTATGGCATGCAGCAGGCAAAGCAGCAGGAAAGAAGTGCATGAACAGCAGCAGGGAAGACAGAGTGGGCAGAAGGAAAACAGCACCATAGATAGGGGCCAGGTGACGAGATCAGACCTGCACAAATCAAAAACGCAAGAGAGGCCAGGCGCGGTGGCTCACCTGGGGTCAACAGTTGGAGATCAGCCTGACCAACAAGGTGAAACCCCATCTCCACTAAAAATACAAAAATTAGCTGGGCATGGTGGCAGATGCCTGTAATCCCAGCTACTTGGGAGGCTGAGGCAGGAGAATCACTTGAACCCAGGAGGCAGAGGTTGCAGTGAGCTGAGATCATGTCATTGCACTCCAGCCTGGGCAACAGGAGGGAAACGGTCAAAAAAAACCAGAAAACCAAACAACAAAAACAACAACAAAAAACCCCAAAAACCGGAAGAGGAGGAAGCATAAAAGATTTAGATTAAAAATAAAAAGGGAAGCTGACAAAAAAGTGGAGATTATTATAAAGTTACGGCATCACAAATTGGGAAAACTTACTGTTTTGTAATTTTCTCTCTTGCACAAAGGATTAGAGGGGGCTACTATTCATTGATTTGACATCTTACCACTTATAGGATGTGTTTGTGGTTCAGTATATTGTAGGCTTTCTCTTAAACAGACTGCAAGTGTCACACTGTCAATATCGCTTCCCTGAAGAGGCTTTTCCTGGTAGCCTTGAGTATTGCCATCCCTGTCTTTCTCAGTCGCTGCATCATGCTCACTTCCTACAAAGCACCCACCACAACCTGCAGAGCTTTTTGTTTCCTCATGTAATATATGTCCTCCCAACAAAAATCTCACTGCCACGGGTAAGAAAGTTCATTTGTTCTCTTCATAAATGTATCCCAGAACCTCGTACAGTGCCTGATACACATTAAAGGTTGAATAAATACTTACTGGATGAATGAATTTACTTCCTTATTTCAGCCTCACCAAAACAACTTAGGAATCTGGCAAGCTAAGAGTTTAGATTTCATCTTACAGTTACTGAAAACAATGAGTTGATTTGTCTAACGTCATGTAGTAAATATAGTATTGTTAGGTTTGAGACCAGATATTCTCCTTGGTTTAGAATCAGAGAGAAAGAGACATGAGATAGGATGGGGGGTGAGAGAGAGAAGGGAGGAAAGGAAGAGGGGAGACAGCGCGACACCCACACATGGAGGAAGAAATATAAACTAAGGAATTTTAAAAGTGCTTTGCAGTTAGAAAGCATATGGCCTTCAATGTTTGAATTCACATTCTATCAGTCAGAGGGAGAAACAGGAAACGTTCCGAAGAGAAAGTAGCACAGACCTTAGAGAAAGCCTATCTACCGAGTCCAGCTCAGCCGTAGATCTCCCGGACCAGGGGGCGCTGAAGGCATTAAGAAGCAGACACCCAGATTTCCAGCTCTCTGGTAGCCCCTCCCACACGGTGGGAGCTCTCTTTCCCCTCCTGTATTTCCCCTCTGGAGTCCCCTTCCACACTCTTCGTGGAACTTTTCTCTCTTCTCCCTTTTCTCTTTTTCTACCTAAATAAATCACTTTTCTGCAAAAACAAAACAAAAACAAAAACAAAAGCAGCAGCAGCAGACATCTGATAGAACAGAAAAGTGGGACTATCTGGGAATGAACAGCTTTCTGAACTGAGAGCCTTAGCGAGCTGACAGCATTCCGGGCTAAGGGCTTCCAGCAGATTGACTCACGTATTTATTGTCTCCGAACAGGTGATTATTATTAACAGCAGGTGTCCTCTGTTTTCTCATAGAACCAAGATAAACTAGGTAGGCAGCTGGTGCCTGCTAACCACTGATCAAGGACAAACTAGAAAGTATTCTCCACGAGGGAGCCACAGGGGCAGGGTCACATATCCCGTGCCTAAAGAATTGTTTTAACTGGTGTATGATACACATATACTGTTTTGTTACTTTAGAATGCTCCAAGTAGTTTTCCACTTGGGTGGGGGGACAGCTAGGTTTTCCTTGCCACTGTTCTTAGCAAACAATTTAATTTTATCGTGAACTCAGCATTTCTCAGCAATCATACACTCAGCATTTCTCAAGACATATCTATTGTTTTCCCAAGAACTGCAGACCAGACATGCAAAACCAGTCTCACTCTACTATCTCAGTACTCGGAAAAGATACCAAAAGAACTGCATCTTACATAACTGCTCTTTTAATAAGGACAAGCCATCTCGAGCAGCCAGGTGAATAGCCTGTATAGA